GCTGCAGGCAGAGTACTGACAGAGCACAGCATTCCCTGCTGCAAAAATACAACTGCTATGAAATACTGTTCTCAAAACAGCTAGCCCTTTACTTGACCAAGAATCAGTTCTTTTCCCCTCCAAAACACCTAAAGACGACAAAACCATATTACAAATTATCTCAGACCAACTTGAAAGAAAGCACCTTGACAAGTTTGCAAGAATCAAAGAAAGGATCTAGAACACCACAAACACCTTTCACAAATCTGTACATATATCCAGACACTGGCATTAGTGAAAGCAGGAGCAGGTTTGCCCACACAAGTCCCAAAATGCAAATGTATATTTTTCAAAGAGACAGTGAGTTCATGCAAATAGAGTTTTGAGATTCAGACTGCTAGTTAATTTCTGGTGGAATAAGGTACAGACCAGCAAAGGTTCATCTACAACACACTGATTTGCAAAGTCATTAGGAAGTTGAAGTCTTTGAGTAGTGAGTAGTTTTCCATCCAGTATAATAGGAAAGAGGAAATATTTGGGGCCTTATTGAGACTTTTGGGGATTGAAAAAAGAAAAGAGGAATTTACTGTTTCAGTGTTCAGTGTCTTAGTCAATAGTAAAACACAACTAAATCTCTCATATTATTGATTCTTACTGATCAGAAAGCATTATTTGAGAAAGTCTGATATTATAAAATACTACCAAAGGCTTGAACAGAAATTTTTAAACAAAAGCATTTAAAATGCAGAAGATGCACAAAAACAAATATACTGTTTAAAACAAGATACAGAACACTAAATGCTACATTCAATACAGCTTCGATAGAAATCAAAGAATTTCCCATCACTGGTGTTGTTTTAACTACATAATTCTGAAGCAAGTAATTTCTTTTCAGAAAGATCCACATATTCTTAGTATTTCAAATACATGACTTCAGCACAGGAAGGAAACAAACAGGTGCATACAGAATTAATCAGCATTAAACATTTTGTCTCATCTTTTCTCCTACAGTTTTTTTAAAATTTCTTTTAAACAAAGCAAACAAATGAGTTTTTTGTTTGCTATGAGTGTCACACCTTGTTTTTAGTGTGGACTTCTTGCTAGCCTCTAGTCAGTCAGTTTGCTAAGGAAAAGGGAACAAGAAGTTGTGCTTGATTTGGTTCATCCTCCACAATTTTAAAAAGGAACACAAGTACTTTCATGACAAACATACTGCTTTGTGTTTTGCAGTTGACACTATGCAGGAAAACAATGTTGAAAGGTTCTTTCCAGAGATTATGAGAAGTATTTATGTTCCCAATTTAGTGACTCATACAGTTAGCAAACTCAGAGATGAATTTAACTCTATCACTCTCAAACTTCTGATTTTGAAAGCAAGCATTGTGATGCTATTCAAAAGCTCTAACAATGAAAAACACAGAAAAAAATCCCAGAAAACCCAAGAAAACTATTCACAGAAGTAACTGTTATTTCTGAAAAAAATATTAAAAGGCCTATACTAAGATTAAAAAAAGACAATCTTCAAACAAAAAAGAAGAGAGATTATCTGAATTATTTGATGTTAAATACTCTAACATTAAAATCATCATCTCTTCAACTTACTATTTAAAGCTTGCCATGGAGTTAATTTTGCAAAATTTTTTTGCATTTGTTTCTTCCTGTTCAAGGACTTACTAAAAATAAATTTGAATGGAAAACAAAAGGTTTACTGTCATAAAGTTACCCTCTTCAGTCTTTTGCAGCTTTTGGCCTGCAGCTGCCAAACACAGTCACAACTCAAACACACATTGGACAGTTCACCAAGTTACCTCTGCACACAATAATCCAGTAGATTTAAGAATTTGTTCTACTTATTTATTTTTATACCTGGAGCACCCACAAAAGGCTGTTTTTGACAGCATCTATTTTGGTGGACAAAGTATACAAAGGCACACACTTGAACACCTCACTAGCTACAAGGAGTACAAAGTTTGGGATCCATCCATCATAGACTGTATCAATGCAATAGATAGCAGCATTTAGAGCTGTGCTGAAGTCGAAGCACAACTCACTGCTCCCAACTCCCTGCCATCTGGAGGCAGCAGCTCAGCCAGTTGACATTTCAGGCAATGTGTACTGACCAAAGATGGTCACTGTCTTATGAGGGAACAAAAGTTGCAAACACTTAAAATCAATACAATTCCTATAATATCACATACTTCCACTTATAATACTGAAATTTTCTGTTGGAAAAATGCTGAAGAGTTTAAAATCAATCAACAAAAGCTGTACTTCTTTTTAATAACTAAAATGTTTGAAAGATGATACGGCAGCTAGTTTTGCTCTATAGAAAGCCACGCAAACCCAGATAACTCCTGCCAACTTTCCAAGTTTATACAGGCTCTGGAGGTGTAGAAGCCAGGAAACCTTCCTGAGTCAAGGTTGCACCCCCRCACTGATTACACCTGCAGAGTTATGAGAGGAACTAAATGATAGCAAGCCTAGTTGCACCTATATAGAAGTCTTTCTTCTTGTCTAATTTATACAATTTTACTAGTCAGGGCTTCAAGTGCCATCCTCCACAATGGTCCATTTCAGACACATACTATCCTCAAGTAACTCATAATCCATGGCAGCATCCTTACTCAGATTTGGAATTCCAAAACGATTTATCAAGCACGTGACTAGGCACATACATATGTCCTTGTGTTTAGACATTAACAGCCTGATCCATTAGCAGGCTAACTACTTCAGCTTCGTAGCTGAACTCTGTATCGTGCTGAGCGCTAGCAACAGTATTAAGTGTGCTAACAAAATATATAAAAAAAGAAAAAAGCTCCACTCTACACAGGTATTTCAGAATAGTTACTGAGCAGACAAGAAAAAGCACATGAGGTATTTACTAATCATAGATTACTGAAGTGTATTTAGGGAGTCTTTAAGGAGTCTTATTTCCTAACTATTTACCTGTTACACTACAACAACTCTACATGTTCTTAGAGATTTGCGCAAGAACTTGTTTGCTGTAGATTTCATAGAACTCAGGCAACTGAGATAGAAACCCTGCCCTCACAGTTTGAGAGGCATGATTCAGTAAAGACTAAAAAGAACTTCTTGGACTTAAAAACTATTAGATACATGAAGACAATGCTTTTTAAGCCAGCAAGAGTAGATGTAAATATCGAAGTTGTGAGAGTTTTCTTCATCCAGCATCCTCAAGCATAGTGATTTGTTTCCACTTTTTATTCTCATGGGGTGCTGCCCTGCTCAGGTAGCAGGTTTGCAGGTCACCCATTAAAGTACTATAATAATTTTTAAAACATAAATGCAACCATGCAACCTCAGTGACCTTGCAATGCTTATTTCCCCAAGATTTAATTAAACAAATATAATGAAGGTACTCATGAAATCAAGTAGAAATAAAATAACAAGTCAAAAGCACAAATATCAACATCCCAAATGTTCCAGTATTCTCATTTGCCAGTCATTTTTATTCATCATGCAGAAAGAAAACAACCACTCTCACCAAATTATTTTTCAAAATGCACATGTAGACTTAATATAAGGCCCTAGCATACATTGAATGCTCCAAAAAGCTTCGAAGTGCATTACAGTATTTGTGTGAGGGACAGATGCTTTCACATAAACACCCAAAATAATAAGGCTTTCTTATCTCAGAAGAAATTGTTCAAAAGCTTTAAGTTACATATAAATTCCTAAGCAGGAACAGGTGTCACCCATCAATCTATGGTCAGGAAAACAAAACAGCGTGCTTTTTGTTTGTTTGTTTTACAGTCAGGTGCTTTCACTTGCCACTCATTGAGAAGAAAGTGACTTCACATACCGCACCTCTGGCTTGTGCACACAGAGGATACCCACAACTTGGGATGGCGCCAAAACAACTGTCTGCACAAAAGGCCCAGAAAGAACTGCCCTGTTCAAAGCAGAACTGAGCGCAGTGAAAGCATGCAGGGAACGGCACCGAAGCCTTGTCGCATTCTCACTGGTAAGCACAACTATGGCTGGAAATTTAGAGGGATTTAAAATATCCTGTTTTGTTTACAAAAGCTAGATAACGAACACTTACGGAAAACAGGTTATAAGGCATACATATACATAAACAATTTAAAGAGAACCACTGAACCAAACAATATTCTTATGCATTCCCTTACAATGCCAGCTCCAGTGCACCTCACTAATTCGCACATCCCTCTATGCTCTCCACAAATTTTTCCACAATAAATATTTCAGCTATATTTGTTCCTAAATCCCATCGCTTCCTCCATAACAAGTTCAACTTCTGTACAAATACAGGCATCTGTCTCATGACTTGTTGCACTTAGCAGACCTCCGCGCAAACTGCGGAATCAGGAATTTAGCCAAATTATTTCTGTAATAAGCATCTGGAGATGAAAGAGTTTTCTCTACCTTTCCACTACAAAAAGGAAGCATATAATTTAGAGGATAACATTTAAATATAAATTAGATTCATATATGTATGCACATACTGACAGGATATATATATTATTGTTTACATGTACTCACAAGATTTCAAAAGCAAGAAAATAAAGACATAAACTCTCAAAGCTGAATTTCTTTAGTTTTTTTGTTTTTTTTTTGTTTTTTTTTTTTAAATAAATCAGATATTCAGGCCACTCGTATGATAGATCATATCACAGGGCCAGGAATTAGTACTTCACCTCACTGCATTTTTCATCTACAGAGAGCTTCACCAGCACCTGCGATTTAAATTCACACATTCTCTGTGCCAGGTTAATTAACACCATCCTTCACAATCTAATTGGAATCTAGGAGGACTGACTTCAAAAGTGTAAGCAGTTACCCTGGGTGTTTATTTCCCCCCGACCCCACTTCCTTTCACCAACAATCCCCCAAGGTGGAGGCGAGGGCTGGAAAGCTCGGGAGCAGCAGAGCCGCTCTCCGACCTGCCAAGGTCAACAAACAGCTGGGGAAGGGGAGGGGAAAAAAAAACTCACTTATTGGTAACGGCAATTGAAATTTTCAAAGCAGATAAGACGCACCTGGGGCTCCGCGCACACGGTTTCCTCCTGCACCTCYGCTTGGGTGAGATCTGGTCCTGAAAAAACGTAGAAAGTTTTTTGAAAAGGAGGCGGCGGTTGAACGAGACGGCGGTTGAGCGCTGAGGGGAAACGTTCAAGCGCCCGTTGGCTCTAACGGTCGCCGCGCGCGCCCCCCCGCCCCCCTCCGCTAC